GTCTATTTTGTTTACACAGACTTAAAAATATGTGATCTTTTTGGAAAGGGGGTGTGGTAGGGCAAAGTGAATAACGATGTGCGTGTTGTTGTCGTTGCAGGAAGAAGAACCAGAACAAGAGTGTGGTGAAGCAGGTAACAACAGCAGAAGGTCTTGATGATGCATGGGCATGGCGTAAATATGGACAGAAACCGATAAAGGGTTCTCCGTATCCAAGAAGCTACTATAGGTGCAGCAGTTCCAAAGGGTGTTTGGCGAGGAAACAGGTTGAAAGGAGCCACTTAGATCCTGCTGTTTTCTTGGTTACCTACACTGCTGAACACAGCCATCCTCACCCAACTCGAAGAAACTCTCTTGCTGGGACCACGAGGAAGAACAATTCCCTAATTCCCCCTCCAACAACCACTCGCAACCATAACACTACTTGTTCTTCAAGGACGCCTTTGATGGTTCAATCCATTGAAGATAAGCTTGTAACGAGTGTGCAACAAAGCATGGACCTGAAGAAAGAGGAACAACATTTTGTTGAGTGGTTCGATGATGGTGCTCAATTTGGTGATGCTTGGATTCCGACCTCAGATCTGGAGAAGTTTATCGGATTTGAATGCCAACATTTTGCACTGGATGGAGGTTTCACCGATGGTTATGCACACTCTTGACAAACTTCCTTCATCAGACTAATCATCGATATCACAAATTTGTGATTTTGAGTTTTCTTTTTTCAAGGCCAATATGTAGATCCGCACCTTCTTCCTTCGACCACCTTGTTTTTAAATTTCAGTCACCATTTTACATTGCGGTTCATACACTGTAATGTTGCAATAGCAATTATGTTTTGTAGATATGCCCATAATATTTTACTCTTCTTTTTTCTCATTTCTATCTTTTATTTTCATTCTTCAACTGTTCATCTTGATCCATCTTGTCAGGTTGCTTGGAGTATTTGTTCAATAACCTTCTTCTTTAAAGTATGACTTAAGGTTCTTAATTACATGTTAATGTCATCACAATGTCCGTCCGAGTAAAATCTTTCCTAATATATATTATTATCATTATATAGATTTATATAATTTTACTTTTATATGCTTATATATTTGTTATTTGGGTTAAATATTGTTTTTTGTATTTAAATTATTTTTAAAATTTGTGTTTTGTATATAAACTGATTTATATCTTTTTCGTCTTATATTTTATGAATTAAACAATGTAACATATAGAATTTCAAAATAAAATATACTATAATATGTTGAAAAAATGTTTTATATAACTTAGAAATAAAATAAGTATATATTCAATTTAAGGAAGGAAAGATATGTTAGAAAGTGGGTTTTAAGACTAACTCAACTCCACAAAACTGGCGGCTTGTGGAACTTTCAACACACCCCCTTCACGCCGAGGGTATAGGCATCTCGTGCGTGATAGTAGAAATGGAATGGTCCGATAATGGCTCGATTGCGGGTGGAATAGAAGAATAGAATGTCCACTTAGAACTTGCTAAGATAAGCTTTAACCATGACTCTGATATCATGTTAGAAGGTGGGTTTAAGCCTAACTTAACCCTACAAAACTGGCTTGGAAGGTGAGGTCTGCACCTCACTTATATATTATAATTTGGTCTTATCTCTAGTTGATGTGAGACTTCCAACACATCCCCTTCACGCTGAGGTATAGACATCTCGTGCGTGATAGTAGAAATTGGGTGATCCGATAATGGCCCGATTGCGGGTGGAATAGAAGAAATTGGGTGGTCTAATAATGGCCCGATTGCGGATGGAATAGAAGAATAGAATGCTCACTTAAAAACCCACCTTCCAATAAGATAACTTAAAAAAATGTAAGTTTAGAAACGAAATTAGGTTATATTTTATTAGATTAAATATGTTTATATTATTTAAATTTGAAAATTTGAAAATAAAATTAAAATTTGTTTTTACTATATAAACTTTATACATTTTTATCTTTAAACTTTAAAATAAATAGATATTTTTTTTTACATTTTAATACTAACATTTGAATTAAAATGTATTAAAGAGTATAACTAACTCAAACGGTCAATCTAAAATTTCATTTTATATATTAAATTTTGTTAACGCATTCTAATTTTGTTATCAAAGTCTACAGGAAAATGTGTATCCGTTTATAAATTTCAACTTTATGTCACATGCTAAAATTATATTTAATTTTTATTATATATATATATATATATATATATATAATTTATAAAAATATAATCAAGTTATTTAATTAATCACTAATAACAAATGTATGACTCGTTATGTATAAAGTAATAACTGATTTATTATCCAATAAATTCATTGGGTAGGAGCAATTACCATTAAACTAACTTGATCACTTTACCTCCATTTTTACTCTTTTTTATAAAATATACTTTTAACAACTTGCTCTTCTACTGTTCACGTTTCTTCATCTTTCACTTGGATAGGATTTTGGTTACTATCGTCGTTCTCACTTTTGTTTTTCATGTAAAACTCTTTCTTTTTTCTGTTTCTCTTTGATCCTTTCACTTAGATAATAATAAAAAAAAAGCCATTTTCAAAGAACAATTACATAATGTAATAATTCTTCTTATAATTAAATAATTCAACAACTCGAAGAGAATCAAGGATTGCGTCTCTAATTTTGGTCTAATATTGACTTTGAGAAGAATCAGAGATTCTGAAGCCATAAAAAGGAAGAATATAAATATTGTATTGGAGAGTGTTTGTATCTTTTGGTTAGAAGATATGGAATGCATATATGTTATCCTATTTTGCGCTATGATAAATTTTATGAAGCTTTTGCACAAAGTCATAATTCATTTCTGGCATCTTTTTATACTCGTTTCTATCTTTTAGTAGACTTGCTAAATTGAAAGAAAACATATGCAATACGTAAGTTTTGCTTTATGTTTAGGTACAGAAATTTTGTTTTGTGTTGACTTTAAATTATAAAAAACATATTTTAATTTCACATGAATAAAGAAAGAATATTGGAATAAAATAAGTTGCTGAATTTTATTCTATTCATATACGCCAAAAATCACATCAAACTTTGCGATCTTAAAAATTCGTTCCCAAACCAGGCACATGGGGAATGCATACTACACTAAAGTGGCTATGTTTGGATCATATAGGCAAATTAAAAAAATACATATATATGGGAAATGAAAGGAGAGAAAACAGTAAAAACTGTATTTCTTCAACGGAAACAAAGAGAAAGTAAAAGAAAACCAACAAAAAATTGTAATCATTTTTTTATATTAATAGTTTTAAAAAATAATAAATAAAATAACATTTTAAAAATATAAATTAGAATTAAAATAAATTACTTTATCCATTACTAGAATTTAAATAAATTACTTTATCCATTATTAGAATTTAAATAAAATTAAAAAAAATTAAATCAAATTGAAAAAATAATTATAGTAGTAAAACAAACAACTAATAGAACATATATCTATTATGCATTTAGTTATTTATTAGTCCAAATGCATATTGGTTTGCTGTAAGTGAAATTTATCCTTATATAAATCAATGTTAATGTAAATAAGGAATGTTTATGCATAAAAATATTTGTAAAAAGTTTTTATTTTTATGATTAATTTCTTTATCTGATTTAGTGTCTTTTTATTAACAAACTACTAAAGAAATTTCTTCACAACTTTCAAAACAACAATATTAATCATTATTATAATAACTAATAAAATTAAATAAATTTTAAATCTTCATCAAGATTAAATTTTTGTTGTTTATTGAATATTCAAAATTTATATATTTTTTAAATCGATTAATACGTATTTTTGTATACATTAAAATTTCCTGTAAAAACAACAATACATATTATTCTTAGTATTAGTATATTATTATAACCTACAAATGTACTAAATTAGGTACATTACGATTATTATAAGTATTGTTATACCATTAGTTTAGTATTATTATACCATTAATTAAGTACGTTATGAACATTTATACCTTATACCATTAATTAAGTACATCACAAATAAATTACTTTACTAATTTTATAATTTAGCATAAATAAATTCATATCTGAATGTTATATTTTAATCTTAATATTTATCATTCATTTTTTTTATAATATCTTTAATATATATATTAATCTGCCAAGTTATGTAATACAACACGTTAAACAAATAATAATTACTAACAAAACAGTAAGTTAAAACTAACTAACCTCGAAGTTTTCGAAACTTAACTCCTGAAATCTCAGTCCCTCAAAAGTGTAGGTTGTAGGATTGCACTTGTAATGGTTGTGTTATGGAAGGTAATGATGTTACGTTGTTATGAAAAAAAATTCATTCAAAGGGGGTATATAGCTTGATAGGTATAGTTTTCGCAAAAGTTAAGAGTAGGTGACATTTTATTAAAGTGAGAAAGAACAGGTAAACAATTCCACGTACAACGATGCCTTTCAGTGACAAACCCGTAACAGCGGGATGTTGACTTAAAGGTTTTCCGTAACTAAATATCACAGAAATTACGGTTTAACAAAGACAATTGACTTCAACCTTGGGTTTTCCAAAAGGAACTATTGGACTTTTGAATTGGCTATCAGGCTATAGCCATGTAAACAGCTCATCCATTCTTTCTGTAAAGAACTAAAAATATATATTGACTCGTTGAGATTGATCGACAACGAATTACTATAATGTAAAATAATCTTTCTTGGTATCTCCCTTTCTCACTATTCTTGGATCATCCAACATGATCACGCGATTTCTCTAAAAAAGGGTCTCACCTGAGATCTCACAAGTCTTGTATTGAATGACGGTGGAGTTCAATAATTATCCTTCACTCTATTTCATTATAGTAATTCAACTTGCCCAACCAAGGAGGTATAAATAAATCTACATTGATATATAATAATCTTGTTATTTTTACATATAACTACCACACGTAATCGTGGCCTTCTTGTCTTATTTGTTTTCCTTTCGTTTACAATATTACGTGAGCATGATCAAATCAAAGTGATACTCAGAAAAAGAAAAAAAAAATACTCAAATTGCATGAGAAGCCAGAGATCTATACAAAATTTAAGGGGATGCTCTCCGAAAAATTGGGGAGAGATCAACGTAATTTCTGTCCATATAAAGATTACACAATATGTGAAGACTAATTTTTCAAGATTATTCTTCGGGGACTTCAGAAACTACTTAACTTATGAGACCAAATAGTCAACCGGAATGGTTAATCATTTTGAATAACTTAGTAATTACTTGGCACCCCAAATGCAAATAAGTTCGTAGTTCCTATATTGAAAGGCCTACTTCTTCCTTTTCCCAGTATTTCATCCAAAAGATAGCCAAAGTATCTCAACTCATACTACGGACATCCAATTGGCTCCTTATAGTGATATCATCAAGCTGTTCTTTAAAAATCCTCCAAAGGCTGTGTCTCAAATTATAGGAGCTCCACATAATAACTTTTCAATTTCTATGCTAGTATAGCTAGTAAAAAATCTTCTGTTGCTAGTTTGGGCTGGCTATAGAAGCTATAGTGTTGTTTCATGACAGCCTCAACTAAATTATGGAATCAATGAAAATTCTCAGCAAGAATTTCTAAGAATCGGTACTAGTAGACGCTTATAACTGAAAAGTGCCCAATTCATGACCGTGTCTTGTAAGAAGTACTTTCCGCCCCTCAACCCATTCTAGTCTATAGGAGAGATCCAAATTATGAAGCAATTGTTTTGGACTGTCCCCGTGATTTGAATCCCTCGCATTATCCTACAAAGAAAATATAGGTGCTATTTCTCAATATAAGAAATAAACTTTTTGACATGGTAGATGACTTAATTAATTAATGACCTCATGACTCCTAATGAAAATGATAAAATGAACGTTTTCATCCCGATCTATCTACCATTTATATTCATGCATCTCAACCAATTGAATGTATTTTAGTATGCTTTCAAACAACTTTCTATTATGCTTTCATCATTTATCTAGTTAAACTAATAATATCCAGCTTGGCAGTCGAATTTTCATGCTAAATATAAATTCATACAACTCATTATATCTTCCTCGCAGGTATCAGTTTCAGTTGAAGATCGGGTTCTAGGCTCATTCGCTGGATGTAAATAGCTTCAGTATGAAATATATATATATATATATATATATATATATATATATATATATATATATATATATATACACACACACACACATACACACACA